TCAAGGTATGAATTCTCCCTTAGTATCTGACAATATCCAAGGTTGAGTTATTCTAGGTTTTTCTAGGATTTTTTACATTTTCCGGTATTTTACGGTAAAATACGTCAAAAACATATAAAATACGTATAAAACTATAATTCACGGTCTATATGACTATATACTCCATTATTATATGTTATATATTTTAAATGTTATATATTAGGGAGGATTTACATTGGAGCGGAAAAGCAGAATGTGAAAAGACAAAAAAACCAATCAAAAATTGTACTTAGCTATCAAGTGCTACACTTACTAGTATTTAATACTTATTGTTCGTAGCTAAGTTCAACTTCTTGGTTAATGATTTTAGCCTTTCTACATTCTGTTTTTCCGCGCCAATGTAAATCCTCCCTTAACTTAATCTGAAAGTGAAAATATATAACCGCGATTCGTAAAGCCATCATAACCTCTACTCTCTAGAACATAATGGATTCATTTAATAAAAATATTCATGTAAGTAATTATTAATTATTAAAGATTCTTCAAAATTGCAATTAATATTTACATATTATTTTAAATGAGATATTATATACTTTATTTATTATTAATACATTCATTGCATATATTTACAGTGTTTTACAAGCAATTTGGAATTGACAAATTCTTTTAAAAGAAAACGATCAGTATTGTGCGAATTAAATTTGAATGAAAGTAACTTCAAACCCAGACAATCATTCCAGCTAAGCACAGAAGAAATGGACGTTGCTTTAGGCGAATTTTTCTTTGGATGCAACATAACATTCAATGTTGTAGAATCTTCACGATTCAAAAAGCTTCTCCAATTGCTAAACCCAAGCTATAATTCACCAACAAGAAAGCGCCTTTCTAAAATGATTTTAGATAAAGTACATCAGAATTTAGTGAATGAAAGAATTCAGATTCAAGGTTCTGAGGGAGTTCTTCTAATTGATGGATGAAAAAATTCAGCAGCCAACACAAAGAATGTTGTATGTATCATTTAAACCCAGATAACAAATTGTCGGCATTGTGCCGACATAGTGCATTCATGTCTGTAGACACGCGTGCTGGCATATTTGCAACAATTGAGGCGTCATATGATGCTCATATGAAGCAACACAACGTGCCGACATGTTTGCAGGCATCGTGCCGACATGTTTGCAGCATACTGTGCCGACACAGTGTTGGTAGTAAAGGCTTGTCGAATTATTGTATTATCTGTATAATAATATACAAATTGTTGTTATTTAACTATTTAACTATAATTAAATAATGGCAACATGTATATATGTATATGTATATATATA